GCAGACAGAACGACAACCGGTAAGTGTGAACTGCCGGTGTGGATGCGTGTGTGTGCATGTGTGCGTGTGCGCGCGTGTATTTGTGTGTGCGTGCGTCCGTGTGTGTGTGTGTGTGTGTGTGTGTGTGTGTGTGTGTGTGTGTGTGTGTATGTGTGTGTGTGTGTGCGTGGGTGCTCGTGAGTAAGTGTGCGTGACTTTTATCTTGCTGTATGTCTGACTGTCTGTATATATCGGTCCGTTTATATAGAAATATTCGCTATCGACTTAGCAGATGATCCTCTATCTCTGATGTTATTCCCTCCAGGAAACGTTCACACGCACGATTATTACACCAGATACCCTTAACTCGCTATAACGCACACCCCATCCCATCTAGCCGCTATGACACCTATTACTATACAACCGCCCGCCCGCTCAGACACTCACCAACACCCTCCCACCAGCCATAACAATCATCACCACGCACACACCCGCTTTAACGCTCAGATCACCCCACTCATCCGCTCTCACCCTCACAACCTCTGTATTATAATACATTCTCTACTCGATCCTCCTGTTCTAACGTTCACCATCTTACATGCATCATAGTTTCACCCGTTCGGCCCATGTCACCTACCTCACTCAGACTCATAACTCCTCCTACCTACTCTAACATTCATATAGATACTTTCCCCCGACACTCTTTACTACCCCATCCAGTTACGCTAGCTCTTATCAAAACCCTACCCGTCTGCTCTACCACTCACACCATTCTCTCCACCCGCTATAATACGTCCAAATAACATCGCTTTAGTTTAATAACATTCAGTCCCCTCTTACCTTGCCGCTTTAATGTTTAATTACACTCACCAACCCGCTCTAACGTTAGACCCCACACCACCCGCCCGTTCTAATGTTAAATTCCACCCCATCCGTTCTAACGTTATATCCCACTCCACCCACCTGCTCTAACCGTTAATACCACCTGACGTTTTATAACACCCACCCACCCGCTCTAACATTCTATAATACCCCACCAACCCACTATAATGGTTATTATCAGCCCACCCTCCCTCTCTATAGTCTAATACAACCTACCCTCCCGCTTTAACGTTCAATCCCATCTCCCACCCACCCTCTCTACGGTTCAATACCACCCCACCCACCAACTCCCATGATAGAGACGTATATCTTCAACACAACGCCATCATTGATTTCTTCCCGCAGCGCGTCTCCACATGGAGCAGCCACCGCCGCCGCCGCCGTCGTCGCTGCCGCCGTCGGCCTGCACGATCGGCGACACGCCGACGTCGCCCGACGTCGACGCCGACATCGACCCGGGCTCGCCGACGACGCTCGACGACTCGCTCGACGGCGACGACGACTCGCCGAAC